ATTTTCTAAGCTTTAAATTTTATCGTCGATGATGGCAAGTGATTTTAGAGCATCTTGAAGATCGATGATGGCAAGTGATTTTAGAACCATGTTAAAGATTTCTAATACCCAAAGTGCGTTCCACGAGGATTAATACGAGGTTTTATTTTGTTTTCATGAAGCCGAAGCCTTATAGAAACTGCATCAGAGAATAAATTCATTCATGCAATAAGACCCTTTTGACCATTTTACCCCCGTGTTGTTGCCCTGTTATATCGTAAAAGGTTAGCCATATAACAACATTGTTTTATTTTTCTGACCTTAATAAAATATTCAAATATATATATAAATAGAAGATTTCAATACATAAAAGCAAAGTATCTTGTAATACATTATCTAGACCATATATTTTTAAAAATTTTAGTTATTTATGGATATGCTCCATATACACCATTTTTTGTACTTTAAATTTCATGATTAGAGGAGATAATAAATTGAAAAAATTACAAATAACTCCAAGACTAGATTTTCTATGCATGTTTCCCCAACCAAACTTTTTTCTCATTTTTTCCTAAAATATACTTTTCTAGCAAATACCCCCAAGTAAAAAGAAATATTTTTTTGACGAAAATATTCTTTTGCGTACATAAAAATTTAATTTTGGTTGGACATTCACGTGGCCTGCCGGACCGCTCTTTGACATTGTTGGACCCCATTAAACTAAAAAAAAGTGTCGGATTGCTCTTTGACGTTGCTAGACCGCACCTTGGACCAATTGGTGGACCGCATGAGCCTATTATCAGACCGCTCTTTGGCAGTGCCGGACCGTATAAGCGTATTGTCGAACCGGTCTTTGTCAGTGCTGGACCGCCGCTGTTATTTACTGGACCGACATTACACTACGTCGGACGGCTTTTTCGTGGGAAAGAGGAGAGAGAGGCACGAGTAAAAGTAAGGCATAGTAGTTTAGACTTTGTTTTATTTTTTTTGGGTTGAGAGGTATTTGCGAAAAAAATATATTTTGGAGAAAAAAGTGAGAAAAGAAGTTTGGCGAGAGGTAACTTACATAAAAACTCTAATCTTGGGAGTTATTTATAATTTTTTATAATAAATTTTATGTGCTGGGGATGGGCTACTCCACCCATTTTTTTAATATAAAAATAAAAAAAAATAGTTTGGTAGGGTTTCAACCCTATCAAAAATAAGTAATGCTTCACCTCAAAACTCAGTTAAAATTACAATCAATCATTTTAGTCGTGACAAATTTTTTTTTTGTGAAAAAAATAAAGAATTCAAACCCGTGTACGTAGTAACAAATTATCAAGACTGTTCATTTCACCTTAAAAATAAGTATTCATATATCCAGAATCATTTTTTGACCTTTAAATTTTATCGTCGGTGTTGACAAGTGAATCATTTTTTGACCTTTAAATTTTATCGTCAGTGTTGACAAGTGATTTTAGAGCTATCTTGAACTTTTTAATGCCTAAAGTGCTTTCCACATGAGGATTGATACGAGGTTTTACTCCGTTTTCATAAACCCCAGGCCTTATAGAATCTGCATCGAAAATTCAAATGAATTCTTTTTTCTACGGCGCGCGGTCGTATGCCATGTCCAAAGCGTTCTAAATAATTTCATGAACTCCAGCTGTATGGAGAGGAATGAAAAATGGCTATCTTATTATCTGCCTCTCAAAAGCTTTTCCGGCCTCCTCTCGCTCTTAAAATAGGTATCTTCCAAATCTCAATTCCCCATTTCTTTGCGCTTTCTCTGTCTGCAATCTTTAAACACTAGCTTACTGGATTGAGTATACTTTGTTCTGCATAGTTCTTGTTTTCGATGATTGTTTGCTGCGAATTCAGTATACAGATTTCATGGATCTTGTAAACGATTGGAGGATATTTGGGCGTTTTATAAATTGCAAAGCGCCAAAGCCCCATGTAAGATACAATTTTATGCAATGCTAATTAATCTGAAGATAACACAAATAGTTATTGAGTTAATTGTTTGTGTAAAGTAGAATCTTAGATTAGATATGTTCGTAAGTGATTTAATTTAGTGCAAATTACCTATAAAAAATAGGCAATTGTATAAATAAATTTGAGAAACATGAATCAACCACTTGAAAGGTTTAATAGTTGATTTGTATAACTTAACGAAGTAGATTTTCATATTTCCTTTTGAAGTTTCATACATGGGTGAGTAATTACAGGCAGTGTTGGCTTTATAATCATTAGAGTTTACTATATGTGGATGAGAAAATGCAAATAAAATGTTAACTATTTCCTCAAAAAATAAGAAAATGACAAAGTCGATCTACCAAATTGACTAGTTGCTTTACTGGTAGATTCTGAACTAATGCAGTTTGATCAAAGCAATGTGATAGCATCAGTGGCTTGCCAAATAGTATCCATGATTTTGGAGAAAACCATGGTATTAGTACATTGTATTTTTGTGGTTTTCTATCTATTGGTTCCTTGTTTGACTTCATTACTATGCCGGCTTTAGTGCAGTTGATTGGGACTACCTTGTTAGCATATTGCATTCGTTGAAGGGATCGTAATTTGCTTTTGATTGAATTTATTTGGGCTCTTTTCATCAAGTTTTGACCTCCATTTCAAAACCAAGTTATTTATCCACCATCTATCTTTCTAATTGCTTCTGTTTCTTGTTAACCCCAACCCTCCCCCCGCCGCTGTCTACTCATGAAAAGTGCAAGTCATCCACCAAAATGTTCACCTAAACACATCAACATCTATCTTTCTTTCCTTGTGTGCAACCCAACACATTGTCCTCATGAAAAATGCAAGTCATCCACCTAAATATTCACCTAAATGCATGAACAACACATACTTGGAAGCACAAATTTGTCCAGAAAATATAAGCACTATTCATTCATGAAATCGTTTGCAAATATGCGGCGTCTCTTCTTCATATCCACTGCATTGTTTGAATTTAATGGTGTTTCAAACCACTGTCATTTGTATTTCAATTTAAGCAGAGTTCAAAAATTCGGCTGCCCAACCGCCTAGGAGAGAAATTTCAAAAAACACCTAGGTCCTGTTTGTGCAGTGGAATTATGCATCCTGTCTCTGGGCGCCCGCCTAGGCGGGTGCCAAAATGCCCCCATCCAAAAAGGGGGAAAAGGGTTTGGGATGGTATTCTAAACCCCCAAAACAAAAACCATGGCTTTTAGGGTGAGAAAAGCTCCTCAAAATACTACTCTTTTGTGATTTATCAAAAAATCGAAAAAGTTTTGATTTTTCGATATCTTTCCAAAACAAAGGCAATGGCTCGTGGGTGGATTTAGAGCTTGTAGTAGTTGATTTTGAGGACTTTTGGCGACCCAGTAGACGAAGTTTGCACCGACATCAATTCGATTTTGATATTTTTAAAAGTATTATCATATTTGAAAGAGGGTTTTGATTTTATTTTCCTACAACATATTATGTAGCGAATCATGTTTTTTTTCTTTTACCTTTTTTTTTTTTACGAAATATTTGCATGTTTGGTTGATGACTTGATGTATTTGTTTTTTGATTTTGCCTTGTTGACTTTGTGTATCGTTTCTAGTCTAGACTTATAGTTTCCTACAATGACATTTGGGATTTCAAGTATTTTAATGTCTTACAAGGTACAATCTCTTCGAGACTTGTATCCGTAAATCTGTTATATGATTGTACTATTACGCTTTCGTCTATTTCATGAGGAGTTTGGGGCTCAAATTGCCCTAAAAACTCCCAAAGACTTAAAACCATGCCTTGAGAGCTCTCTTATTTTTTTTGTTTGGGTCCGGGGGAGGTTTCAATTTCGGTGAGGGCACTCTGTCTCTGGGCGGGCGCCTAGGCGGCCAGGCACCCAAAACGGCTAGGCACCCGAATCCGCATTTTTGAACATTGAAGAGAGCAATCATGCTGCGAACCTGGATCTTGAGCATTTGATCAACACAAGATTAATGGGTTGAATTAGATGGTAGAAATGCTTAGAGCAATGCTTGTGCTAGTGCTTGAGTTTGGGATCGATTTCACAATGCTTTCTTAACAAATTTGAAGCCCATAAATTTTGACTGCTGATGATTCTGCTTTAGCAATTTTTGGCCGATGTTAAAATTTTCAAGCACATACAGTGCATTAAGCCTCAATCTTTCACCACTTTTAAGCAGTGACCTTATGAGTGTCATGTCCTTTTCCATGGTTGAAGTCCACTGACCTCTAACCGGTTTTAAGTGGGTCCAAAAGTGGACTGCCGTTAAGAACTCTAAACCACTTATGCACATTGGTCAGAACTTTCAAGCACTCCCCACCTAGTTCAAGTCTGCAACCATAGATCTACAATGACCTTTTTCTACACATACCTGACTCAATTTTCTTTAAAAAGGTTAGAAAAATCAAGAGGGGAAAATCTATCAATGGTTCTGCTATTCAAACTGCTATTAACTGAACTTTTTGATTTCCTCTCTTGTTTTCCTATCATTTTCAGAAAAACTGTTTCCATCAGCATGCAATCATCCTAAGAGCCTAGACCAAGTTGTGGCAATTCTGTAGGATTCTTGTATTCTCAGAAATTTCTCTAGAGGGTGCAACTAAGGGAAAACTTTAACAAGTGTTTCATTTGACTATTCGTCTCAGTTTTTTTGCATCTTGGAGTTCCTAAGATGAGGGCATCTACCACCTTGAAAACAGTGAATCCTCATACCTCTTGTGAAGCACAGTCAAACTAACTTTTGAAAGCCCCAATGGGAAGACCAATTCTTTGTTGATGTGTTTGTGGTCAAGTTGGAGCTTCAGTTAAGATGTTCAATTGACCAAGCAATGTTGTGATTGGCTCCATTTGGCTCTCACTGAGTAGCATGGCCACCTAACTCGGTAGTTGAAGTTTTGACTGCAGACATCTGAGAAGTGAGAATGTCACTATTTTCACCTAGGTTAAGACTTGATTCAACTTCCCATTTGCTTCAAAGACCACTTCTTTGGCTTGGACACGGTTCACCATTGAATGTTGTTCTGACTTTGGTTCATTTGTCTGTTATAAGTTTTAACCACCGTTAAGATCTGGCGAAGCATTAAAACAATTGAACTGACTTTCTTTTGATCAGATTGAATTGCTATTATACCACAAGGAAGAGTTTTTAGATCTTGACCACGCCACCACGGTCAAGCAAAGCTTCTCGCCAGTTGACCGTGGTTAAGCACAGACCTGCAAAGTTCACCGCTGATAAGCTCTTACATGCAGAAGTTGATCTGTAATGAGTTCAAACCTTCAAAATTGGACTCAGATAAGGAGATTCATGGATTTTAACTGACTATTAGTGACTCAGGAACCTTTTGGAGATTGACCTCATTTGTCTAGGCGCCTAAGCGACCTCAGATATCATCAATTAAACAACTATACATTTCTCTTTCGTTATTTTTCGTGCTGCTCTTTTACTATCCTTGCTTCTAGTTTGATTATCAATTGCCTTCACTTCCATTCACTTGTCAAATTCAAATTGCTGTGAAGTTTTGCATGGAACAGTTCAAGTTTTGTTGTCGACTGAGCGAGACTTTTGTGTTTCATGCTTAGGAGATAATTGTCATAGTGTATGGTCTTGTCCTCTCAAGATGGCCTCAAGAGATCAGTTACAAGCAAAGTGTCAGGCTATGATGCCTTCATCTACAAATTTCGAGATTTATGACCCGCCAAAAGCTGTATGGGTGTGGACCGAAAAGAAGGATGTCATGACTGCTGCTGTTGAGAGAGGCTGGAACACTTTTGTCTTCTCTTCGCATAGTAGAAAGCTAGCCGATGAATGGTCATGTGAGGCCTCATCTTTATGCTTTATTATTTCATATTCAAGCCTGTCGGGGAAGGATTATATAGTCATTTGGATTGTAATTTGTAGCATCTTTTGGGTTGTTCAAGTAGGAACTGTACTATAGCATCAATAATTTTATAATACTTCGTAATAAAAAAAATGTAACTACCCTCATTGTTTCTTTATAACTCTATAGATTGAATCTTCCAAACGACCAAATATATATGTGTGTGTGTGTGTGGGTGTGGGTGTGGGTGTGGGTGTGTGTGTCACTATATTTCATCCTAACCCATTGGCGGTTTTTCTCATCTGCAGCGATTGCTATGATAAAGCCTCTGTTTATTCAAGAGGGAGAGATTTTTGATTCTGAAAACAAAAGGATTGCCATAGTTTCTGAAATTTCTTGTCCAGAACAACTCGAACAGCTCCAATTACTTGACGGGCAAGCAGAGAATGTAGTTATAAGTTTGATGGACTGGCAGGTTTTTTTTGTTCATCTCCATAACCTAAAATTTCTATATGAAGTTATGCTGGTGCTGTTTTTCACGGCTTAATTTTTTTTCATAATTGAAAGATGAAATAAATGAAAAGGAAAGAAGTTCCTGGTACCGTAGAATGTGACAAACAGGTCAAATCAAATTTGCAATCTGAACAAGATAGTTTGTGGCATGTATGCACTTACCGATATCCATACACTATTTCTAGATAAGATATTTGTTTATAGTTTTGCATTTAGTATTCCCAATGATATTATCCTATCCTATCATGCATGGCGAGTATCTTAATGATATCGATTTTTCTCTTATGCCGTCTCCCAATTATGATATTATGTGATTCATTATGTTACTCAAGTTTTATTTTCCAATTAAAGCAATATCAAGCTTTTCATGTATTTGCATTTAAGACCTTTTGCTGTCTAGGATAGCAATGCTTTTATGAAAGCCTACGAAGAAAGTCTTTTCTATTGATTTTATGTGGTTTAGTTTTCTCCTTTTCCTTTGGTGCGTTCCATTTTAGAACTTTAGTGCATTCACTGTTTAGTAACGCTTGAATGATATATTTAGGTGATACCAGCCGAAAACATTGTTGCAGTATTCCAAGGTAGTCAAACTAAGGTGTTGGCTATTGGAAAGACTCCTTCAGAAGCGCAACTTTTTCTTGAGGTTATTCTTGTATCTTTTATGATATCAATTGGGTTCGGAGCTGATCTAGCATGTAATCATTCTCAATAATGGCTATATATTTTTTTGGGTAAGTTGCATTGTTACATTTTTAAATTTTCTATATATTGCTAAGTTGAGCTCCATTGTTTACGCAGGCCTTGGAACAAGGATTGAGTGGAGTTGTGTTGAAAATTGAAGATAGTGAGGTCATTCTTAAGCTAAAGGTGATTTTCTTTTTCTTATTTTCAAGGTGGAGCAATCACATTGAAGTTATTTTAAATTGAAGTTAATTTTCTTTTGTTTTTTTCCATCTTTTGCTGCTCATGGGCATGTCTGGCTTACGAAAGTGCATGGGCTCATATTTTATTTGCAATTTAGAGATGTGCTTGTCTGCATGATTGTATTGTGCTTATATTTGCATACCCTCTAGCCTTAATTTTTGGGGGAGCAGTTGGCAGGTAAGTTGGCCACTTAGGGAAAACTTGAACTCTATTTGGGAGTTTGTGTAAAAATACCACTAGCATGCCTTTAAATATGAACTTGGTATTATGGGAGCAAGTAAAGTTAAAACACAACCAAACTTAAGATTCCACATGCATGCACGGACACACGCATGCACACAACACACTTGCACGATTCTAAACCTTGGTGCACCTTGTATGGGGATCAGTTCTTTCTCATTAAGGATAATTGATCAGGAATATTTTGACAGAAGAAATGAGGTGAAGAATGTTTTGAGTTTGGTCAAAGCCACTGTGTCACAGGTCCAAGTTGCTGGAATGGGCGATCGCGTGTGCGTGGATCTATGTACTCTCATGAGGCCTGGTGAAGGCCTACTGGTTTGCCTTCCACAAGTCCTGCTTTGGCATTCACTGTATTGCTTTTTTTTTTTTTTAATTCTTTCAAGAGCAAAAATGGATGAGTTATCAAAAAAGAAAAAGAAAAGAAAAAGGGGAAGAAAAAGATTTGGGTGTTAGCATGAAAATAATAAGGAGACAGAAAATAACACTCATACATGAAGGTCGAGAGATGGAGATCGAGAGAGAGCGGAACTGAAATTTATAGACTTACCCTGAAGGATTATGATACTTGTTTTCCCCATAAGTGGTACAAAAACTCCACTCTTCTAGTTAAAAACAGATACTTATTGTGCATTTCCTGCTAAAACTGATGGCATTTCCACACTAATATGAGTGCCTAAACTTCTAAAACTGCTAAAAATATTAAAGTTAACATTCAACTATGCTTGTTGCTAATGATCATTTATTGTAAAGCTCATGTTATCTTCCTATAGACCTTTTCTTTTCAAATTATCTGATATTGGTCATTGTGATTACTAGGTAGGATCATATGCAAGGGGACTTCTCTTGGTGCATTCTGAATGCTTGGCGTCAAGTTACATATCCAGCAGACCGTTTCGTGTCAATGCGGTGAGTTGAAAATGTTCCATGGCTTAGCAAGAGAAGTTTACAGGTTACAAGTCCAAAAAAAAATTTTATTCACAACTCATAGCTTGAGAAAATGGCATTTTCAAAATTATGCATTCCAAGTTTTATTTACTCTGGTAATAGCATTTGTTTGTTGTGGGGGGGAGAGAGAGGATTAATACTTGGTATTGCAGATTATGTCGTGCGATAAACTGTGCCAAATCAAACTTAGTAATTCTGCAGCTTTCTATCTCAAAAGTAAAAATAAAAAATATTTTTTGCTAATTCTGAGAGAGATAGAGCAAGATAGATAGTTAGAGAGAGAGAGAGAGAGAGGATATTTGAAACTTGGAAATTGCATATTATGTTGTTTAATAAGATGGTGTGAAGTTTGAGTTTTATCATTTTTCAACTTCCCATACGGAAATAGAAAACAACAATAACCACTATTGTCAGATTCGCTTTGGAGTCTTCATCTGTTTAGTCAGAAAAACAAAGCAAGTCGGTGCTTCGGCCTATTCGAACGAAGACTTTGGAATTTTTTAAGAAAATTAATATAAATAAAGCATATAGTTATATATGAAAAAATATTAAAATAATATAAAATTTTGAAAATAATAAATTCAAAAAATAAAAATAAAAATAATAAAAAAGACGGACCAAAGCTTTGGCCAAAGAGGCCGAATTAGACCGAATCGGGCTGAATTAGCCTGAAGCAAGCCGAAGCAGATGCAGCAAAGCTTCGCTTTGTTTCTGTAGGCCGAAAATCCGAAGACTTCGGCCTATTCAGCCGAAGCAACTCAAATCTGAAAAACATTGATAACAACAACAACAACAGCATAATAATAAGTGCTACTTCTTATAGCTAATTTATTGCAAAACATCCTGTATTGAAATGCTTCAAATCATTGTAGGGCCCTGTGCATGCTTACGTTGCGGTTCCAGGAGGCAAGACCTGTTACCTTTCAGAATTGCAGTCAGGTAAAGAGGTAATTGTGGTTGATCTCAATGGTAGACAAAGGACAGCGGTTGTTGGGAGGGTCAAGATTGAGACTAGACCACTCATTCTTGTGGAAGCCAAGGTATGTTTACTGGTGGATTGTTCACAAAGAAAGAGAGAGGGAGAGAGTATTTTGCAAAAGTATATCATACAGAGCTCTATAGGAAAGCTAGACACAAAAATATGGTATATTGACTTTTTTTATTGAGAAATAGGTTCAGAGAATGCTCTTCACTTCAGAGTGTACAAATTGCATGACACTCGGTTAAATATATTGTTATTCATTTAGAAGACGATCTTTCCAAAACAGCACTTCTACTCCACAACCCAAAACCTATTCCGCTCTCTGAATTCAAGCTTCACCTCTTCAATAGCTTCCCATGCCTCTGAAAACTTAGAAGGGCACCCGCTCATCCACATATGCTTCTTCCAGTTGGTGTTCTATTACAAGCATTAAAGATCAAATTCATTTTGAGGAGAAACTGATAGTGAGATTCATTAGTTTTGTATTTTCCTTGAATGTGCGAATTCTTGGTAGCTGTTACTTATTAAGCAGCTGGGTTGTTGACTATCAAATTAATTGGGTCTCTGGTTTTTTCACTTGTTTCACTCAATCGCTTCTCATTGTCCATGTAAACTCTGATGAACTATTTATATGAAACGGATTGTAAATGGTATTTTCGGAAAATCAGAATCTGATAGTATGCATTGGATAGTTGCAGATAGATGATTCAGATGACAAAACCAAATACAGCATCCTCTTACAGAATGCCGAAACTGTTGGTTTAGTATGTCCATTCCAAGGTTTGGTTGACTGTGTATTACCATTTGGGTTTCTGTTAAGAGTAAAGTTGAGCACGCGTGCGCATGCCGCACACACACACCCAGGGAGAGAGAGCTGTTCCATTTGGATTTCTATTTGCTCTTAGTGGATTGTCCATGTTTGTGCAGTTGGCAAGCACAATATGTCAGCTATACCTGTAACAACATTGAAAGTTGGTGATGAGGTTCTTTTGAGAGTACAAGGTGGTGCACGACACACAGGAATTGAAATTCAGGAATTCATCATAGAGAAGTAAATCTTCTTTAGAGCTTGAGGAAATATTTCTGGTTTGAACCAGTAGGCAAGAGACAACAGCAAAGAAAGTTAGCAGGAGCTAGAGATCCTTGATTGTATCATGTTTGAAGAGAAGAGAAAGAACCATCCTCTTTTCTATTCTTTTTTATGTCATTCTCCTTTTTATTTGTTTGATCATTTTATGAATAATTTTAAAAGGTTCCAAGCCTAAAAATGAATATATTAGTGTTAGTCAATCTCAAATCAAGTACAAAAGCATTTAAACATAAATATTATTATATATGGGGTGGATAACTCAAAGTTGAGCTTGTGACTTGGATCATCTGTTTTCAGGTTGAACTGTGGGCTGAAGCCCAATTATTATGATAGTAGTCATGGTAAAAGGCTTTAAATTGAAGGCCCTGTACTTGGGCATTGAGATCCCAAATTTGGAATCAGTTTCTATAACCAAGAATTAAGAATATGGTAGTTTGCAACCTTAAATAAATATCTAATTTCGATCAAACCACCACGATTAGACTCAATGAAATCTCCATAATAATCCTGTAAAGGTTTGAAAAGGAAAGATTTTTTATTATCCATCTTAAAGATGGATGTTTGATACCTTGAGGAACACAAATGTAGAAACACATCCCCCCGACTCGTAGATGTTGTGTAATATTCTCTCTCTCTATCTATTATTTGAGTGAAGGAGATTATATTCCACTGGTCTTATTAATGATCTCCATGTTAAAAATTATATATATCTAAAAAATTAATTTCAAATTCCATTCAAATGATAAAGTTTAGGGAAAAGTTTATACAGAGCTGAGGCTCTAAACCATCTAATTAGAGCCTACATAAAAAATTTCATTAAAAAATGTTTTTATTCCCAAGTATCCTCAAATCAATCATCTTGACGATGCACTGACATGAGAAAAAAATGGATTTCAAGTTTTGAAAATAGTGTATTTTGTAATGTATTTTTGGACCGTCAATTTTCAAGATTTTCAAGTTTTCATAGATTTGTCGATCTACACTATTTTTTCAGCTTTAAACTTTATAAATAAATATAAAAATATATTTTAAGACTATCACAAAGATTTTTAATATTGAAACCACATTTCTGGATACTATTTGAGGGTAGGCTCTAATTTGATAGCCTAGGCTTTATACAAACC